AACGTTAAATATTTTTATGTTTTTTTTTAAGTCTTCATTTAATATAAGGTTTACCATAATTTGTTCTTACAGCAATATAAAAAATCAACAATCCATTGTCACAAATAAGCATTTGAAGTTTATATTTTGACAAAACTCATCAACATCACGAAAATTTGCAAATTATTTTGTAGGTAGGTAGAAATTCATAAAACGATTCAAAAATCCCTGCAGGCCATAAATTAATAAAAATCGAGATAAAAATTGAAAAGGTACCAACTAATTATGATTGGTTTATGGTCAATAAACCTGTACATATTTTACCATGGATTGCATTTATTTTTGTATTTTATAACAGTTTCAAATTTACTGTGTTATCCAGACTTACGGGCATCCAATAAATAAAATTACATTGTCAATATTGATACTTTACAGTTTTCGATACTAATTTTAATCTTTAATTGCCTTTTACTATTTTTAATGCTTAATGATAAATAATATTTTTTTTTCATTGCGAATATTTTTTTATATTACCACAAGTATACTTATAATACCTATGTTAGCTATAAATTGTTATATAGGATGGGCCACCGTGATGTTAACTTCACGACTTTACGTCTTTACGATAAAACTTAAAAATACGGTTGCCCTTCCTTTATTTATAAAATATTATACGATATTTACTATTTTACTATTATATTATAATATTATACCTAATAATAAAATTAGTTAAGATTTAAACATAGATTTATGAACAATAAAATTACAAGTTACCTATATTTATATATACGACAAATCTAATTCGTAATTATTACTATATAAGTATATCACTGTCGCAATGATGAAACAAAAAATAAATAAAAATAAAACTGTTGTTATGCCTCTAATACTTGTGACGCTTAGTATTATACATATTAATATAATATTATGTAGGTGAAATAAATATTAATACTTATTTTGTAGAATACTTTGAACACGGTCAAAAAACAAATAATAATACACCTACAACTTTAATAAAATAAAAAAAACACGAAAATCAAGACTGTACACAAAGCTTATTGGATAACACACACAATGAAAAATATACCTTATAGTATCCTTTTTTTATAGTATCTACCCGAATAAATTATTATACCTACCTAGGTTTATAAATAAACAAACAATCAAACCCGAAAAAAGAACAAAAAATAAATTAAAAGTTAACCTTGATATAATATTCGTAAAATGAATGGTTATACACTTATAAGTTATATCTCTTATGGGTACACCGCATTGTGTATACCTATACCTCTCAGTTTTGTTTATTTTCGTATATAATTTATTATTGAGTACGATTGATAAAAAAATCTACCAATTTACGACCTTTAAAAATATAATATAATACAAATAACAAAACATAAATAGGTATATACGTTCGACACATTGTGCTCATTCTCGTTAAATGTGTATTTTCTTACATACAGAGTGTATCTATAATAAATCTTATATCGCGTCGTGCACGTGGTGTAATAAAATTAAATTTCACAAAAATTAAATACTACGATTCTTTATTAAAAATCCTTTATTATTACTAGGAATTGTTTTATTACAATAATATAACATTTCTTATGACCGCTGTTATAACAACAACAAAATCAATTTTATTTTTCTAAATACTGACAACTTTTATTCAATTATTATAATTTACACGTAAAACGTCAAAAGATACACTCTGTATTATTGTAACTATAGACTATGAACTACCTATAATTGTAGTGATCAAAAAGAAGTTCAATGAAAATGAGTGGGTAATTGGGTACTCCTCTGCGGTACAGTAGGTATTGAGTGAGTCAATGTAATTGATATGTTAAAATTAAATTCAATGAAATATAATTGTATACTAAAAACGATTCTAAGCGGAGACGGTGTGTCAAACAATTAATTTTATAGTATAATAATACCTATTGCTATTGGTAGGTTGAATTCACTTTTGCTAAAAACATTGCATACCTAGTGATATTATATTGTCGTAATATCAGTGATTTTTTGGTTACTGTATCAACTATTCATCACTTTGTATTAATTTTTAAGTACATAATTTATTTTCAATAATCTAAGGTTATTCCTTTTTGAGTTCCACCAAAAAAAAAAAATCAAAATTGTCAAAAGGGGTTAAAAATTCCTATTTTTCTTCATTGTTTTTTGTTTTCCCGGTTATTTTTTATAAGTACTGGACATTTTTTACTTTTGACCACCTAAAGTGCCAACTAGATCTACAATATCCTACCAGATTCCATCCCAAAGCTGAAAAAACACACATCATAATCATCATAGTATGTATAATCAATGCATTTATCGGCAGTCACCGCTCAGTTTCTAAAAGAACGTGAAAAAGGTCCGATTAAAAAATTACAGAAACCATTGATGTTTAAGTACCCAGAGTCTGGATATAGGGTACAATACAGCATTCCTAATTGTATTTATAGGAATCATTAATTAAAGTAATAAAGTAGCAAAATGGATCTACAACAAAGGTAGGATAACCTAATAGGTATTAACATCATAATACTCTCAATAAAACTCGATTGAAAGTGAACTACAGTAATGAGTAAAGACCGGATTTATATGTTTTTACATATCGTGACTGGGTCTATGCAGTCTTATGATAGTAAAAAATGTGGACGATTCGTTCAATTCTGAATGCGTAGAAAAAAGTTTTTTTTGCATGTTTGAGAATATTTCATGGATTAGAATAGAATTTATGGATATTAACAACATTGCATGTCGATATCTAATCAAGAATTATTTATACAATTTTTATATTTGCAAAAGTATACTTAAATATGTGTCGATTGAAGGTATAAATAGTATCAGATGAATCAAGTAATAAATAAACAAATGGCTCTCAAAATACTAACGAGGTGAGCGCCGCGCTCACATCGCGACCACTGACGGGTTAACCCATTTAGCATGTTTTGGAATATTTCGTAAATTGTGAGAAAAAATTTGTATTTATTTTTAATTTTAATATTAAGGTACTCAGAAAAAAATGTTTTGAACATTTATAATTTACTTATTTTTTTATCATTTTGATAAAAAGAAAACATGCAGTGCTATCAAGGTTTATGTATGTATATCTACTGATAAGATCAACGTACCTATACGTTTATCAAATATTGAAATTTCCAAATTTTGTTTTTATGTTTTAATATTATACTGTTATATTTAATATATTATATTCCAATTTCCTACTCTTACTAAAGTGCAATAATTTCCCATTAGGTATAATACGCAACTTTTAATACCTAAGTAACACCTCACTATTAAAATAATGTAAAAAAAAATTTTTAAAGCATATAATGATGTTTTTTGATTATTTTTGCATATTATTGTATATTTTTGCATATTTTAGCGTATTTTTGCATATTTTATAAATTTTTGAGAGAATATAATGAGAATATTTGAAGGTTTTTTAGAGAACATTAACATCATATTTTGGGTATTTTAAGAGAATATAAATCCGGTCTTTAGTAACGAGTAATGAATAATGTTAGAAACCAATCGGTGCTTATTCTTTCTCATTCTCGTTGCTATTGACATCGAACCGGAATATCAAAATGAAAATAGATTATGTATATTATTATACCTAATTTAATATAGTATCGACGCGACTAGTTGGGGGGAAGGTAACCTGTATAATGTATATCACTACATCAGGTAAACATACCTCTACATTTTATTTCAAATCGAAAATACTGTTGAATTAAATCAACATTATTTTCATCTTACACGTACCTGCTACCTACGTCTACGTGTATGGTGTATGTTACACGAAAACCACTTTATTATAGTCAACCAAACAATAATATTATTATCATTAGAATAGTATACGCACATTGTACGTTAAGTAGGTAGAGTTCGGCGCCACCTCAACGAACATATTGCCAAATAAGTTTTTAGCAGACCGTGCTATTTCCGCGGATATTGAAGAGGACAAGGACTTAACTAGTCAACCAGGGGTTAAAGTGGGACAAATTTCCAGAGGGGACTAATGTCTCCATAAAGTTTTAAGAGTTCCATATATAATTTTATGTATAATATCTAATGCATAAAATCCTAATTTGTTAAAGGGGACGCTTTTTAACCTCTGTAGTCAACTAATATTAGTATAATAATTAATGATATAATATAAGAACACATTCGGTGACAAAAGTCAATAACAATTAACACACAAGACACAAACAGTTTTTGTCGGCTCAACCAGCGAGTACATACCTATATGTGACGGTGACTACTGACTATGTAGGTTTACCTAGAGAGCCTAGACAGTAGATAATAATATATTATACATCTCTATAAGTTTATCTAGAGAGCCTTTATATATAATTATCTAGGCTCTCTAGATTCATCTATATAGTTTATACTATTAATATAATACGAGAGTTGGTATGATAAATTAGTCATAGGTAGCTGGAGCTTATCAACAAAATCGATTTGGAAAACGCTGATGGGCAAAACGGTGTAGTCAAAAAGCGATCGGTGGTGGGAAGTGGGTGAGACGGATATTTAATTTTTTTTTCCTCCCCCTGAAATCACAAAAGAAACTTATTGCAATAACGAGAAGTGTGAGTGGGGTGTTCTGCATCCCCTGTAGAGGCACCTATTACCTTTTTTTTTCATGTTTGAACCGACGACGAACTGCTTTCATATTACTGCCGCGGCGCTGAGGTACCTACTACCTATACAAAACGGTCACATTTATATAATCGTGACCTTTGAGAAACCATAATATAAGTATTTATCAGAGTCCTGACACCGTACTTATATCCTCGTAGGGATAGGTTCTCAGACGACTGATAACGGAAAAAAATTTCGTTCTCAAAAATCATTTAATAATTTGGGGTGTCAACAACGAAATATACTAATTAGTAATTACGATAACGCCTTTGAGCCGTGCGATGATATCAGTTAAATACTAAGCCAATAGGTAACTACGATAAATTCATAATACGATACGAGTGTATCAATGGGGTCGTTCTTACCGCCGGTCAGTACAATTTTGTAGAGTTTCTTGATTTTGCCATCCATCGCGAATATTTTTGTGACGACGAAGGGAGCAGGACGAGACTGAACCGCGTGTTAAGTGTTAACTACTGCTGCTTAACGACGGTTGTGGCGTGTGGACCATGTGACTTTTGTTGGCGGCGGCGATGGTGTCGTTCACTCGTTGTGTCCAAACTCGGAGGAGGCAGTTCGCACGATGACGGAGGCGGCACACCGGCGGTGTGAGCAAAACAACTGCTCAGATGGTTTTCCGACGGAATTCATTGCACGCGGCAGTTGTTGTTATTATTATTCGCAGTTCGTATGATATTATTATAATTGTGATTGTTGCCGTCGGGTGTTTGCGGGAACTGCAAAACAACGTTGAAAAGAGGGGGAGAAAAAATCTAAAAACTAAAAAAAAAAATTATTTCCACCGCATAAACAGCGACCGGACTAGCGCACGCGTGCGAATGTTGCGCGTCCTGGCTACAGCCGACTGACGAGTGAGACCGCGACACCGCGTGCGCGTGTAAGCGTGTACGGGGGCGAGACGACGAAGTGAACGACAACGACCACGACCGTACTCAATTGTGGTTTCTCGGGTGCTGCCGTGCTGGTGGTCCGTGCTCGCCGCCGACTGCCGAGTGCCGACAACGGACAAGCCGCCTACTCCCGTCGAATATTATAATATTATGTTATTATTATTGGGCGCCGTAGTTCCAGCTTATCATTTGATATACCACTGATACCAGTATATATAGATAACAATATATATAATTATAATTTATAATAATTTTATGTTTTGTGGTGATACCACGGCTGCTGTTATATTGACCTCCCTTCCACCACAACCATAGATCTATTATCAGGTATATGATATAGATAGTTATTATCTATGATATATGATCGCAACACACATGAGCATAACAGCTGTTGCTGCAGCGTGCCACCGACGACAAGCCCGAACGTCGACTTGGTAACCACTAACCGTCTGGCGTCTGCTAGGTGCTGACAACCGCTGAGCCACAGAATATCAACGAATTTCAATAATTTCATAAGTCAGTGACTGAACCCAGGGCCAGGAATGTACCCGGGAATTTTCAAAGGGGGAAGCGGGTCCAAATTATTTTAACATGCAAAAAGTAAACAATCAGTTGATTGCATCTTAAGAATTTTAAATTCTGCCAATCAATGGGGGAGGGGAGTCCAAATAGGGTTGGGATTTCTTTTTTTAATTCGCAGGGCACACAATTTTTTGAAATGTAATATTGTAAAAAAATCGGGATATTGACGTCCCGCTTTATTAAAAAGCGAGAATCGGGACACTAAAAATTAAAGGACGGTTAGTGACTATACTAACTCATACTTTTTCTGTATTGGCCATGTAATATAGCAAAAAGGTAGGCACTTATTTAATATAAAAGTCGATAAGGTAATAGGTAGACGTAATAGTCTTTACGATAAGATTAAATTAAAACGATAGCTAAATGCAGGAATTTCCTATAATCTATAATCTTTAAAAAGTAGTTATAAAATATTAAAATCTAAAAACAAATCAATATTGTTTTAATATTAGATGCTACAAATATTGCAAGGTTCCCGTAGTAAATCTGTATGCGTGAATTACAATTGTAATGAATGACTGGTTGATGGGCATCCAGAGTCACTATACTTCAGCCTGATTGGATAATGGATTGGTTTATTTTATAATTACAATTTGAATTTGAATGTTTAGTAGGTGATTATTGGTGTTGATCTATTGTTGGAAAAAAATACTTTATATTGATGACAGTGGTTAGAGGAGAAATTAATGCGTAGTTCAATGATTTTAATTTATCAAGGAAGCAAAAAGGACAAGAATTTTAGCGACTTGGGGGTCGGATGAGTCTGAAGAAGTACGAGTGTTAGCGTCAGTGGCAGTCAAATGATGTTGTCGAAGGGGGGATTTGTCTGATTTTGTTCACTACGTTATTATTAAAAATATAATTTATGGTTATCACTTATCAGATCTTCAACATTGAAAAAAGCTCATGGGGGTCTGCCCCCCCGTTTTACCAACACTGGTTAGCGTGATAACTGATTAGTATATAAATATAATATAATATAATATATATTACATTTTTGAATTTTTTCATAATATATTTATATAGACTGCTTGCATATACGAAATGGGGGGCCAACGGGGTAAAGTTGGATTTTAAGTAGTGCTCGTTATAGTTATAGTGTCTACGTTATAGACCAATAAGCGGTGGTAAATTACACATACTTCCGAATGTATGAATTCCTTAACAAAATAATTAGGATTTCTAGGAAGTCGATTTTCAATTTTCAATTTTAAAGGACCATAGAATTTGGATATTTTTTTTAAAAATCTCATGAAATAATTGTTTTACATTTGTAATTATTTTGGGCCTTGTGGGTTTTATATCAAAAAAGTGGTTCCTACAAAGCATAGCCTAGGAGCTTATGAATTCAACCATTTTTTCGAAATTACAATCAAACTTCAGGAAGAATGTTTAATTTACTATCGCTTTTGGTAGTTTTTACAGGTGATGCATAGAAAAATATATTTTGTTTTTCTCAATTTGTTGACATGTGCGTCGTGCGTGTGCGTGCGAAAATGGCACACGGCGGATTCCGAACGTATCTACGCACACTAATAATCATTTACTTCGCACACAGCCACACTGCGTAACGAGTATAAGACATCGTATTGCCTATACGCGACCCCTTATTAAATCACAGCATTCAATTCCCTTAAATACGTGGTTTCATTCGACCAAGATGACGTCATGATCAACAGTCGGCTCGAACAAAACGTCCACGTCCCAAAAAATCTAGCGGGTAAAATTATGAGTTACACCGAGTTACAACGGCCAACGGACAACGACTGCAGAGTGAAGACTGAACACTGAACAGTGAACTATGAATTAGTGTGATCAGTGAATATTGAAGATTGGACACTGAACGTTATTCTGTTCTTAGCAGTATTTTATCTGAGTCTGTGTTTCTGTGACTGAAACCTTACCAGTCACCACGTCGCTGGTTCACCGTTCACGTAATTCGAATTACGATTTACTTTTATTTACTCGATTTAGTGTTAGCGGTTGAATATTGATCGTTGATCGTTAATATTATTTTTTAACCTAATAATGGACGACCTAGATTTTAAGAATCTCGACGACTATGACTCGGATGATCAGGAAGAAGATGACACGGACGCGGAGTACGACAATCCGCCATCGCCCAAGACCAAATTCGGAGATGTTTGCTGCACAAACAAATGCCTGTTGATGTTTGACGACGAGTTTAAGACACGTTTTAAGACGGATATGTCACTGCTGAAAAAATTTGAAAAGAACATTTATCTATTCGCGATGATCTCCATCAACAGAAACAAGATAAACGCTACTAAAATCATCAAGTCCTCAAAATATTTCCAATATGCAGTTAAGCATTACGGAGTGAATCAATCTGTGTGCAAAAGCGCATTTGTCATCCTGCACGATACAACTCCAGCTCTGGTACGAACATTGTGCATGAAGATGACAGTAGGGCATAATACACCTGTTGACGGCCGTGGTAAACATAATAACCGATGGACTATAACCGACGAAACAAAAGTTGCTATAAAAGAGCATTTCTTTAACATCTTGAAGTCGCCTAATGTGAGTTGACTAATTTAAATCTGATACGATATAATTGATACGAGTTTAAAATAATGGGAATGTATTTTCTTGTTTTTTTCATTAGATTTTCAAATGCGCCAAGAAAAATCTTGGCCAACCCAATATTTCTCAGCTGTGGATTAGTTTTAAACAGGAACACGGTTAGTATGATAGAATGTACATTTTATATTGTTAAAAATTGCATTCAAAATTGTTTTTGCAATTTAGTTTTCTAAGTAGAAATTTGGACATAATATATCTTTATTGTTTGTATCGATGTACACTAGTGAATATGAACACTTACCGAATGGCACTATTGCGCCTTTATTTTACTATCAAGTTCTGGTTTCTTATTTATAGTAAATATATATAATTTTTTAATCAAATATATTATGATTGAAGGAATTGAACTCCAAGTTCAATGTACAGTATTATTCATTATGACTAATTCAGAAGTATTAGAAAATATGATTAAACATATTATAATTACCTTTATAATTGATTTATCATTTTTGTTGACTAAAATCATACTAGTTATTCTACTTTAATTTAATTTCATATATTTTCTGATGAAGACAGCATATTTTTGTCTAATTCAATGAAATATCAAACATCTTTATTTTTAATGAATTCATTACTGTATCATAACTATACATTTTACACAGAATAATAATTTATTCATCATAATCTAGGCACAAAATAATTACTGTTTAAAGTCAATTTGGTTAAAATAAACATTTCATGGATGCTTTAGTAATTAATTAGAGATTGTGATTGGTGGTGAGGAGAGTTAAAATTGATTATTTAAAATGTAATGTTACCTACTTGAATAAAATATTTTATTCATGATGATTTCAGGTCATATATCCCGTTCAACATACACAAAATATATTCAATCATTATTAACACCTGAAGTTGTATCAAACTTTATGTGTGCGAACCAAGCAAAACAAATTTTACAATACATAAATAAAAATAAATCACGTTAGGGATAAATTTACTATTGACTATTACTGTATTTTTTATTTAAGCGATTTGTAATTTTTACTATTTAAGAAGTATTAATAAGTATACAATTAATATGCATATACATATTGAATATATGTACCAATATTTGTTATACAAGTTCCAAATATTCATGTAAAAACTGCCAACTTGAACTAATAGAAGATACTTGAATCCAGCAGGTCAATTTAAAGTAAAGGTATACTTCCATAGCTGACAATAGCTCTGGCCTGTTGCTTATTAATAAACATTTTTTTTTTTCAATATTTAAGCCGTAATTTTTTTTCAGTTTCCCACGAGTTTTTTACAGAACTGTATTTTTTGTATGTAAGTTAAATGTATTAATGGATTTTAGTTATTTATTAGTTAGACATATCATTGACCTTAATACATCATTAGTTAGGTTTGACATATTTTGTGCATCATAAATTTGTATTTTAAAAGTATATTTGGTACTAATAGGGGTTGTGTAAATAAAAAAAAATATATGTAATGCTATAATAGTAATGTATTAAGATGTGGGGTGTAATAAAACATGAAGTGTAATGGTTTAACAGACAAATGGAACATTAACATTTCACAAACATAACGTATAATGTTTGTTTTACCTCAATAACGTAGCAAAACTTAATAAGTGACAATATACAGAATTGAAATAGCGTATCATAATGATATTTATGATAACCTATTGCAGTTTATTGGCTTTTTGTGATATTCCAAAAAATGATATTCAGTTTTGCGCATGTTTTATGATGGTTACAGTAGTGTTGAATTCTGAATTATCCACTTATGGTGAGTCCAAATTCCAAAGATGATATTACTTAACGATGCTGTTATAACTAAACAACCTAACTGGTTGTATGACCGACCACCAAAAACTAGTTGTTGCTCTGAATATTTTCTTTTGGAATAGGATATAATTGTATATTATGATGAAAAATGATTCTGAGCTAAGACAGACCGTTAGTTTATATTTCAAAAGATATATCTACTATAATTTATATTGCTATTAGTAGTTCATTTTTCCATAAGTAATACCATTGATTATAAATACTAAATAGTATTTATAATTAATGGTAATATGATAGTTTTAACTAATTTTTCTAAAACCAGACCGCATAATATATCTTTGGTGTTCGGTCAAAAGGTGTTAAGTCAAAAATTATGATTTTTCAGTAGGATTTATTAAAAGCTTGACATTTTTTCCTAAATCAGATTTTTATTACATAAACTTTGTTATACCTATTTCAAACTAATAAATACTATTAATTTAAAGTTTTGTTCTCAAAGTTATGAAAAAATTTGATTTGTTATACTTTTTATGTAATTAACTCAAACTCACTTTTCAGAAAATTGACTTATATCATTTTGGCCAAAACTTAACTCCTTATGATCATATTTTTAAAAAAAATTTAAGACTTAAGCTTATAATATCTATTTTAAATGACTTAACCCCAATTGATTTTAAAATGAAATTGATTATGTTTAAACTGAAATGATTTAAGTTGACTTAATCCAATAATATCTTAAAATTGTATTTTATTATTAAAAAAACGATTTAAATTGACATAACTCTTTTAGATCTTAATATAAATTAAAATTTGAAACATATCTTTAATACACATCACAGTCACAGCAACCAGATTATTTGGTGACTTAACTTGTTTCTACCAAAAATTGAGATTTTTTTTCGAATATAAAGGAGTCAAAACATAATTTTTAAAAAAACATGACTTAACTCTTTTTGACCGCATCAAAGATATTTTAACATTATTATTTATTTCATATAATATTACTAGCCTTTATTAACTTGTAAGTTATTACCGAAGTACCATATGACTCGGTAAATATGTTCATGGATAAATGAAATGGGTTATATTTGATTATTTCATTGTCCAATGTCCATAGAAAATAATAATATCCGTAGTTTTAATTTCAAAAGGTTTGTAATTCCTACAAATAATATTTTTTAAATTGCAACAAAATAAATAAATACATTTTTTTTGTAATTTGGTCAAAATTTGAACTTGTTTTTAAATTGCTATGAGAATAACTTATGAGGGACATTGAATTACATTTCTATGCCATAGCTATTAAAATAAAAAATGTTAGAAATAATTTACTATTTAAAAAATATATTATTTGTAATTATTTGTAATCTTTTAATTTAAAATTTTTTTATTGAATAAAAATATACATATAAAAAAAAAAAAAAATAGACAAATTGCCCGTGGTCCAATTTTAGGGATAAACATTGATTCTAGTACAAATCCTTCAGAAATTTGGTCTTTAATTCCGAATAAGGATAATATACGAACTACAAAATATGCAGCATAATTTAAATCACAAATTGTATAATGGTCATTGCTCAGTTCATTGTTCATATTATTATATTAATTTTTGATGTCTTACTAAAATTACAAAGTGAAAATATATTTATTTATGAATTCTAAATTCTTCTCCTTCATACTCGAAATTGAGAACATAATTGTTCAATGGAAGAAATAAGTAGAATAGAATATCAGAAATATGTGAGATTAAAAAATCAACCAGTTTAAAAAGACAATATTTTGTATTAAAAAAAAAAAATTATCATGTTAATTTGCTTATATTTATATTAACTAGGTGCCAAACTATTATTTTATAGTGGCAATTATTATTTTACCTAATAGGTTTGAGTATTGACGAATTTAAAATTTAAAATATTTTTATTTTTATTTTTATTTTTATTATCATTTCAATAATTATTATTGGTACAAATTGTATATATTATTTTATATCTTTGCCCTTTGGCACTTTTGTCATATTATAATATTGTATATAGTTTTATATTGGCTCTATGTCCTACTGATTTTGGCGCAAATTCTATGTAATTTTTATATTTTACATCATTTTGTGCTTTGGCGCTTTTTTTTTCCTTGTGGTGTCGCCACTTGGGGTTTGAACAATATTTGCACCATACAGTATACTTATCTCCACATGGCACATCACGGCCTTTGGCTCTCATGTCATAGAGCCATATTGTGGACTTACAAGTTAACAAGAACCTAACCGTTGATACACCGTAGATAGTAGATACGTTCGCGGGGTCACAGATATATAAAAATTAAAAATACATGTATTTTTATATATCTGTACGTGGGGTTGTCATATTTTGGCGGCACTCAGAACCATAAACTAAGATTCATGCTCATAACAAAAAAAAATTCTACCCACCAACGGTTTAAGAATTAGTTATACCAGATTATACTTTAATGGTTAATACTTAATATATTATAAAGATAAGTACATATAGCCAAGGACCAAGGTAAATCAATCCACCTTGGGGCTTGGATCTTAGATCATAATATGATCAAAGTCTTGAATATACTGGCCATACATTGTTCAATACTTCTACCTTCTATTACTATCTTAGTCCGTGGCATGATTTAAGATATACGATATACCCACGTCCCAATGTCCCATGAATTAAAATATACAGGATATTACGTTAATGTTAATTCGTGGATATACATAAGAATATAAGATAATTGACAAGTATACCTAAGAGCATAAGAATATAAGATCGTGGTCCGTGACAGTAAGCACTAAGCACGATTCAAGATATACCTTTAAATTAAAGATATAATATATTAAGACCTTAATCGTGGTAGTAACTAGTAAGTAGTAAGGTATAATATTATCTTCAATCATGATCGCCGCCCGCCGGCCAATCGGAAAAAAAGTGTGAGCGCAGTGTGCGTTCGGTTTTGAGTTCATCCCCCCTCATTGGTCAACCTGCGTCGAGTTAGATAAGAACAATTTAATTAATATTGTTATTAATAATAATAATAATAATAATAATAATAATAATAATAATAAAAAAAGGAAGAAGAAATATTTAATATTTAAATAGAACATTGATTGGTATTTGTCGGTACTCGGTGTGTTTAATGGCCTCGTCTTTTGCATATTATTTATTCCGTCAAACGTGAACAACGCTCTGGCGTCCATTACACGGATGTCTTAGAACAGCGCACAAATACGGTAAGTCCATCATTTCTTGTTTTAACATAACAATATACTTACAAGCACAACTCTCACTCACTCACATAATATATAGGTGTATAATAATGTGTATTGTTATTATTTCCAATATATTATTATATTCACCCCGTGTCACATTTTGATACAAAATATTATATATCCGATTGTTCTCAGATGAACAAATGCACAAATTACACTTGTAAAACGCTTGTACACATTGTATTGTTCATCGTTATTGTTTGGGGACTATAGGGTTTGGTGATTATAACAATTGTCGTCTGTGTTTGATTTGGGTTTACAATGGCTGCCGATCACTTCTGTTTGAAATGGAACAACTATCCTTTGAACATGGTCACCGAGTTGGACAGCCTTCGTACTAGTGAAGACCTGGTAGATGTAACTTTATCATGTGATGGACAGTTGTTCAAAGCTCATAAAGTTGTGTTGTCTATGTGCAGTACCTACTTTCGAAATGTGTTCAAGGTAAACTGAAACACTCCTTTTTTCAAACTGCACTACATTTTAAATTTGGTTTTTTTCTAAGGCAATGGATTTTTATGTTTATCTGTTAATATCCTAGTTATATTTTTAGGATAATCCTTGTAGACATCCAGTTGTAATCTTGAAAGATATAAACCAAGACGATGTTCAGGCATTGCTCAATTTTGTGTATCAAGGCACTGTTTACATATCAGAGAAAAAATTAGAATCGTTTCTACGGACTGCAGAATTACTACAGATAAGAGGTCTAGCTGGGGCAGCTTCTACCATAAATACAGATCTAGTACACAATATTGTTCTTCACTTAATTACAATTATTTTACAGTTAGTTCATTTTTAGGAGTCAACCCGAATGAGCTTAGAGAGAAATGCTATGCCTCCACTACAGCAACTTTCTACCAATAACAATCAAGATGAAAAACATGATACATCAACTTCAACAGAAAAATCTGATTCTCCCAAATCTCCCAGTGAAAAAGTTTCTGCAAAACGAAAGAAGTGTCTTCCGGTTAAATTGAAAAAACAATTTGATAATGGCACAGAGTTTATGGTGAATGAAAGTTGAAATATTTCTAAATTTTAACAGTAGCTAATTCATTATTTTACAGGATGAAACAACTGGTAGTGAAACTGACATATTGAGTCGATTAAAAGTCGATGATATTGATGATGGAAATGTAGATACTGACTGTTATATTGATGAAGATGGATCAAAAGATGAATTTTGTGATGATCCATATGCACAAGGACCTGATGTTGATGAATATGAAGATGTAGATTTAGTTAAAGATGATTTTGTTTCACATTCTACTACAATTTTTGACAAGTCATTAATTGCTTCTCGTATGTTAAATGATCCTAAAGGTAAATTTTCCTTATATTTCTTGTTTATCAAATTTATTATAGAAGTTTATTTTAAATAAACTTATTTAGATATCCACACAAGTACAGCTAGTGGTATTGATTTTGCTATATCTTCAGCACAAACAAATCAATGTCCATCTGAACAATCATTAACAACTGCAGGTATTATACTCTTTCTAAAGTAATTTACATATATATAATATATATATATATATATATAGTATGTATATGATTGGGAAGTATACATGTATATATATATATATTATATAAATATGTACTAGAATAAGTGTACTTAATTATTAATTTTATGAAAGTAAACGAAAACAAAATTTTTCCATTTATAATTGGAAATCAATGTATTTCACGGCTTATAAGCCATGCAGGCGGCACACATGTTTTTACAGGATCCCACCTGGCCCAGTGTGGGGACTGTCCCCATTGTGGACAGATGTACAACAACCAGTCGTCGCTGAAGTATCATGTGCGTTTAATGCATTCGGACTTGACGCGCCGGCTGTGTTGTTACCTTTGCCCCAGCTCATTTGTGTATCGCGAGGCGTACAAAACGCACATGCGACAAGAGCACAATGTCAGATTGTGATGAATGGTGATATAATTTGTGTAAGTGGACAAAAATGGTTGTCGGTCAGTCGGAGCATGGTGTATTGTTTGTGATGGGGGAGTCTCGAGCACTAAACATTCCAAATATGTACAAATTCAATAATTAACAATCTTTAAACAAATATAACACCAATTAATTACTTAATATAATATTGATTGTTGATAATAATATAATATTTATTAATAACATTGGCTTTATGTTAATTCTCTAACATTGGAACTATACTATATTTGCAAGTATAAGTTGATTATTTGATCAACAACATTTGTTCACATATACTTTTATCCAAAATAACAATGATATGTTATGGTCCTTTTGTAATTGCTCACCCACATTTTACATTCAGAGCAGAGAAATGAATTATGTGTGAGAAAATGATTTTGTCTGTGGGGGGTATACATGCGTGCACTGTACCACTTTTAGTGCGCCACCTGGTGCGTTCTTATTCTGAAAAGAGTATAGGTCAAAAGTTTAATAATTCCTAGTACTTATCTTAATGATTGAGAAAAACAGGATTTTTTGACTATTACAATTATATAATTTTGGTTGAGATTCAAAAAAATTATATAATGATACATGATACTTGATAATTTTTCAAAATATTTATATCAGCATTTGGTTGTGTCAGCAACATAGTTCAATTTTCAAAATTGTGCGAGCTATTTATAGACATTTGATGGTTTACTATTTTTTTTTTTTAGTTTTTTTTTTCTATTCATTTTGATACAAAACTTTCATTTGGTCTAAAATCTTTAAAATTCAATTCCAAGTTCTTTATAAGTTGTTATTATAGCTATTTAAAATTATTTAATTTACATAGAGATGATTATTTTTTTTTAACTTTTCATTGATCTTCTTGAATCTCAAATACTCAAGCACTACTTTAAAATGTATATTTTAGAAGATGCTCTGTTAGTACACACTGGCATGGTGGTACGAAGGTACCGTGACAATTTTCAAGCCTCAAGCTATCATTATTAAAGATCTACTTTGATCAGTCAGGACACTTTCGATTATATTATATTATAGTCATCCCGCACCCTGGCGGTCCCCGTGAGACAGGCTTATGATTGTTGGAGCAGTATATTTTCAGGTAGGCAATCCACCTTTAGTTGATTGCAGACCCCGTGAGGTGTATATGTAATTATGAATGTTATTAACACGTTGTTTATGATATGCATGTGTAGGTTCCTGAGACAACGGTCTAAAAATTAGCCTTGGGAATGCCATCTTTTCTAAGGTATATAGTTATTAGTTTTGACCAAATATAATATTCAGATACAGGTTCAATTATATTCAATCATAACCAATAGCAACTTTACAATAAACAAAAATATATTATTATTTAGTTAATTTTTTTGCTCGACAGCTGGCTCCACTGTTGTATTTTTCCATCCAGTTTCCTACTTTTTCTTAAAATTTTCATTCATACAAACCTTTTTCTGACAATTATACAACAGAAATCATTCAAATCGGTTAAGCAAAAATAACAAAATAACGATATAAAACATAGTATGTAAAAACTACGTCTACCCGTAGTAAAATTAAATCAACCAATCTTAATACTACTAGCAAAATACTCTAATAGCAATATCAAAAAACATAACCTGAAATATACTTGATATAGGCTGACAGACAATCTCCGCTCAGAATCTATTTTCGTTTGCAATGGTATAAACCATGATCGTTGAATTCAAAATTAACACCACCCATTACAATGCCCCTCTCAACACCTAATTTACAGTATATTTGTACCTACTTGTCTACCTGGTACACAAACTTTTTATGCATTGATGTTGATTTATTTTATTTTATGTCTACCCAAATTAATTTATTTTAAGTTATTTAAATTATATCTGTATTGTGACCTAGCATGTTTCATAAATATTCCTTTAATTTAGTATGCATTTTGTGCATTTTATACCTTACATTATTCAGATGTATAATATAGCAATATGTTAAGTGATATTCTAAATGTTGAGATACTCTTTAAATATCACTTGAACCATTTTCCATTATTCTAATTTAGTTACATCTAAATACATTTTATAATGTTTATATCTTTAACAATTTCTTTTCAATACTTACAATTTATTAGATTTCTTTTCCTGAAATTATTTATATATTATACGTTTATTATATTTTACATTTTAACATTGAAAATCATTATTTTAAATTTAATACAATAGTATTATTTTTCGACAGTTATTTGATATTTTAAAAATTGACTATTTTAGCATAAAATATTATCTTAAAGACATTACAATTATTATTGTAACATTGTATTGATTAAATATAAAGTTAGAGACAAAAACCAAGTGATAAGTCTCCATAATTTGGCTTGCAAAATGTATTAAAAGCTTTTTAATAGAATTAAAATTATATAGTATGATATTATAAATATGTATATAAAAATTACATTTGAGTGCTTAATAATGATAGATATGTCATAATGTATCTTATATTTTGACTAATAATTATAGATCTATGTTTATACATAAAAACAATTTCTTATTTATATTATATTAGTCTATGATATAGAATAATAATATTTATCATTTTTTTATATATAATAATAACATGAAATAAAGCAAAATATATGTTAATGTTGCTTTTATAATGTTCCTGTAATAAATTATTTGTTTATCTTTATTATTGTACATTGTTAAATGTATAGTACAATGTAAGCTTAACACTTTTATTATTCAGTGTTAAAAAAAGTACATGCAAAATTTTACCTTCCAGAATATTTATAAATGAGTCAAAACAACAATATTTTAACTTGTAGTTGACATTTTGTGATAGTTCCCTGAACCAGCCAAAAGCTCCAACAAGTGTTTCGTAATACATTATTATGTTGTCATATAGAGCATTGATTTTAAAAAAACTGTTTAAAGTTTTGAAAATAATATTATTTAATACATTTAAGATGAATGAAAAGTGTTCATGCCATAGCTTAAGATAATTATATTTAAAGTATTATATACAATTAGTGTACATTTTATAACTTAATGTTTAATTACAAAGTGATATTAAATGCAGAGCCCTTTATTTAATGACTAATTACACAAATAATAATTTTGTGTTGGTGAAATGATACTCAGGTGAAACCACATTGATAATCGCACGAAGTATGTCGCCCAATGTCCAATTTTTCTCAAGAGTCTGATGTACATTCATTTTTGTTTTAATTAACTAATTTTCAATTTTTTTTTACAGACCGTCTAGGCCGCCGACCATGTCCGTTGTGCCAAAAAGTGATCTCCAACAAGTCTAACTTATTAAAACATATGCGAATTAGACATAGTGACGAATACAATCCAGCTGGTTGCAGTGTGTGTGGAAAAGTGTTTAAGAACAAATACAGTTTACGTGCACACATTAACATCTATCATAAGGAGCACTCGACTACTACCAATTCACCTAATCAAGGTGCATATCAAGTGTACAACAATAACGCTATTGGTCAACAGCAACAACACCCACAACATCAACAATCGGCTTCAGTACAGCCTATCAACAATTCTACTGGTCCTTATCTAACTAGTTCATCGCCGGTTACTTGTTTTAACCAGTCTTCAAATGCCACTACAACCGGTGGCTATATTATACAGCAGCCTCCCACATCACCGTTCCTAAATAAAATCTCATTGGATCTCCCATCGCCATATCAGTTAACAAATCAGGCTACATCTGGGCCACCTTTATCACCACTTTAACCATTATTTCCACCAGCATCAGCCGGTGAATTTTTTGATGTTGTCGGATGCGCTTCACGCATGACTCATTTGGAGGTTTAAATTTTAACCTCATTTTCGAGATCGATTACTGACTAATTATTTTTCATTATTATTATTAAATAAATATATATTTAATTATATTTTTTTCTAGAGGGGGGAAGGGCTTGGTTTGATGTTTGGTTAATTTTTACTGGTTTTAATTCATTATTTTAAAATGGATATTGCTATACCCGAAGTATAATATTTTTATTAATACATTAATGGAAATGTAAAATATATATATAAAGTTTTTAATTTAGAATATATATTATATTGTGTGCCAATAATGATAATGAGTAATGAAAAAGAAACAATCAAATTATGTTGTATAATTAATATTTATTAACAAAGTTTGCTCTTTATAGCAGAATCTATTATAGGCCAAACGAGTCTAAGACTGAATAAAAATGAAACACCCTAATATTATTCAAATATTACTGATGAATAGTATTTTTAGCTCATAATTATTAAGGATAAATATGAAACAAACTTGTTCTCTAAATAGAGAAAATCACCTTGTACCTACTCTATAGTATTTCAATGTATACCTATTCTTTAGCAATAAAATATATTGTAACGTAGTCATAATCATAGATGTATCATGTATAAAATTAATATTTACCAAAGATATTATAGAACTGATAATACCAATAACAATTTTTCAATTGTATTCAGTTGAATACTATGTGTACATTTTGCACATGGTTTTGTTTCATGTTTTCTATTTGTATTAGAAATTGTATACACCGCACAATTACCTTACTTTTGGTTTGCTACAACAGTCCCTAACATTATATAATTTGTTTACCCTTAATATTAATATTTAATTTTGTCGTCATGATTTTTCACGGGTCTTTTTGTATTATTAATTAGGGTTTTATTTTGTGTAGAATTTAACATTGGTACAATAATATTTATTTGGTTTATTTCCCTTTTTTCTGCTTTTTATTTTTATTTTATAACTTAGTGAAACATAGTATTTCTTTATTTTTCGGGTTCCAAAGTGTGTATTGACTGATATAGTTTATAGTATTTAAATAAAATAAAAAGGATGGAAAAAGATGTATATTTTTTTTCTAACAGAACGAGTCAACTAATGTTTTTTTATGTATACTTTAAATATTAATATATATTTTATGTTCATGTATGATTAATATAAATTATAATGAAATTAAATATTTATTTTATTTAGGCTAGTTAAGTGCCATCTTATTTCAATTAACATCCTTACTATATACCTGTACACTGCAGCTGACCTCAAGAACTCATGATATAAATATTTTCATGAATCAAGTGTTCCCGATGTTCGTAATTTTGACAAATATTGTGAAAATTTAAACTTCAATCTCTTATAAATACATTTTACCTACCTATGTACTTTCGATATTTAGAACTGAGAACAAATTATCTTTTAATAAATGTTCAAGCTTTTTGGCAGAGTATAATTTTTATCAATATTTATAGAAATCCAGAAATCAGAATCTACAATAAACTAATTATTGGAAAAAAGATCCCCTATGAAAGGGTAACCAATTTACCATTGTCCATTTTAGTAGAAAATAGAAATTTATTGAACTGGTATACTACCTACCTTTTATCATCTATTATAGTGGTATTACTATTTTCTAGTAAAATTACATTATTATCAACGCCGATATCGGGATATTCGTTCTAAAAATATCATAATTGTGTATATTATGTGTTTTTATAATTAAATTTTAAAATAAAACTTGTTTGAAACACAATTTTTTCAGTACATTTTTATTACTACAATATTAACTATGGCAATTGGCAACTAAAGCAATTAAAGTGAAATATCATTATACGAAACAATTTTAGATTCTGAGAATCTGAGCGAAGCGATGAATGTATTGATTTCATAATGATGTTGTTTTTTATTTGTGTGTGTAGACTGTAGACGATAAGTATCCGAAATTATGCTTTGATTTTCAACTTCAGTATCTTTTCCAGTGGGAAAGTGAATCTAGTTGGTGCATTCGATAGGTGAAAATTCCTAGTGCCTAGTCTCCAAAAGCACCGGGAAAAACGAAAACATTTTTGACAAAATTCGTAACAATCGCTGAAATTTACAACTTATTTTGAGTTAAGAATTCATTGAAATTTTTATTTTTAAGTATATCCACGATTTGAAAATGTAATACATAATTCCTCATAAGTCATAAGTTTGTGTACCTTTATGGCTTTATCAAAAAAAAAAAGTCTATTGGAAAGTCATATTAAATTTTTATGAGCGTTTGAAGATCAAATTTTTACAACATTGGATATTCATTCAATTTCTCGTGGAGCGATTTTTTTATTTTGTTGTAACTTGTAATTCAAAAACTATTAACTGTAGAACATAAAATTTACACCATAAAATGTTGAATTTATAATTTTCTATAAGTACTTGATAGTTGATACCATTTAGACAGTGGCGGCTAGTGTTCAATTTTATAGGGATACCAGATGCCAGATGCAGTACAAACAGAAGTAGAATCCCAGCAACGTTCATCAACTACATGAGATACCTATGGCCTTTTTTTAATTCATTGTAATTAATTTTTAAGGCCCTTGAATGATAATTCCAACGTTTATTGCATTGATTTGGCAATTTATATCCTTGCTCTTAAAACCATTCTTCTTTTAGAGGATCTACTGAAAATGTATGGAGCATAGTAAGGTTTGCTATATATGAATAATTACTTAACATCTTTTATTAATTTTGCGGAATGAAGAAGAACCAAATTCAATTAATGAGTGTAACAATGTATACTAATAGATATGGAATAAATATTTAGTGTAATTGACTGAAGTCTGAAATCCATTTTCACAATTTTTCACCAGACATAACATAAGCACCATCATATGTTTGACACATAACTTTTTTTACCAATATTCCACTTTGAAAGTTCATTTAGAATTACTTCGGATAAGCCAGTCGCAGTCTTATTTTTGGAAACATCAAAAAATCCTATAAATCTTTCTTCGATATTATTGACAAGAATATAACGAAAAATTAAACTAATATGAGGTTGGCATGATAGTAGATACAATTTTAAAAAGGGGGCAAGTGGATGTCGCTCTGCTGTATAGTAGAATACAAGTGGGTCACTTTATAATGGATGATATTACATTTAAATTCAATGATATAATATCATTGTATAAGAAAAACGATTCTGAGCGGAGACGGTTTAGGTATAAGACATTATATACCTACTTATCTATATGGTATTAAAAAAAAAATTTACTTATAATAGGTACCTATAATAAATTCCAAATAAATCATATCACAATATCCATTAGGTACTTATAACGCGTTATACATCAACAACAAACCCTGATACTATCATAGATATATAATAGTGTACTTTAGAAGTTTCAAGTACAAAGTACAAACGAATAATATTATACAATCACAACAAAATAACTAAAATAGTTATTCTAGGTTTTTTTATTATGTAAATTCGTCCAAATTTGAACTTAAATGACTATAAAAATAAACTGTGGAAATGTTTTTTTAGATTTTTTGGTAACAGAATTAACTACTTACGTGGAATTTTGTTTTAAATTTTCAATATTTAGATATAAAAGTTGAACATTTTATACATTTTTAACTACAAAATAATTATTCAATTTTAAATTTGATAAATTTTGTCAAAATTCGATCTTTAAATGCTTATAAAAAAAAATTGTGCATTTGTATTTGTATTTTGTAATATATTTCAACTGATATTGTAACAATATATCAGGAGACTTGTATTACATTTTTACACTTTTTGGTCCAACAGATAAAACTTAATTGATATTCATAAAAAAAAAAAAAAATTGAAATATGAAATTGTCGTCAGTAAACAGCTTAAAAGTTAAAACAAGTCAAAATATTTTGTACATTATATTAAGTATAAGAATTGATGAAATAAACATTCAGTGAAATTTTCATGTACCTACAGTTATTCGTTTTGAATTATAACAAAATAAGAAAATCGCTACATGAGAAATCGAGTGAATATTCAATGTTGTAAAACTTTGAATTTCAAACACTCATAAAAATTTAATTTGACTTTCTTATAGACATTTTTTTTTTTTTTTTTGATAAAGGTAGGTAATCTTATAAGGAATCTTGTATTACATTTTAAAATCTTAGATTTAAAAAGAAAAATTCTTAACTCAAAATAATTTGTTAATTTTCGTAATTTTTCCATATTTTTTCAATTTTTGAACTTTATTTTTTTGACTGTGATTAAGGACTTTTAATATTTTTCAAATGTGATTGTAACAATATAGTAGGAGCCTTGTATTAAATTTTAAAGTATTTTAATCAACAAATAAAGTTATATTGATATTGATACTCATAGAAAAAAAAACTAATAAAATTGGAAACTGAAAATGTTCCTAAACAGTTCAAAACAAATCAAAATATTTTGAAAATGTTATCATGTAGGTATAGAAAATGGAAATATAAACAACCAGTGAAAATGTTATGTGTTTAATGTCATTTGTTTTTCCTTAATTTTTCTTTTGTTTTTCACGGCGCTTTTGAAAATGACTGTGAACTTCAAATTTTGACCTCCCCAATGCATCAACAACATTCACTTTCTCATCGAAGAAGATACTGAAGTGGAAAATCGAAGCATTATTTCGACTACTTATCGTATACAGACAAAAAAGATAAAAAACACGCATCATTGTAAAATCAATACATTCATCTTTCCACTCAGAATCTAAAATGTCATAACTCGTTTTGAGATGTTTACGGACAATTCAAAATGTTGGTTTTTTTTTCTATAAACGTTAATAAAATTGTATTCGTTGTGTCAAAATGTTTGAAAATGTAATAAAAAGTGCCCGATATAATTGTTACAATAACGGTTGAAGACTGAAGTACATATTATATTACACAATTAAATTTTTGATAAGCATTTAAAGTTCAAGTTTTGACAAAATGTATCAAATTGAAAATGTACTAATCATGTTGTAATTAAAAATGTATAAAATGTTCCACTTTTATAGCTACTAATTTAAAATTTATAACAAGGTTTCACTTAAGTAGTTAATTCTGAAACCAAAAAATCTAAAAAATCGTATAACAGTTTTTTTCATAGTTATATTTTATGTTCAAATTTGGACGAAATATTACATATTAAATAACCAAGAATAACGATTTTAGTTATATTCTTGTAATTTAAAAATATTATTCATGGGTAAGTAATTGAAACTTCTAAAGTATATTATTATAATTTATAGGTATACAAAAATGATAATATGCAAATAATAATAATTCAACTTACTGGCTACTGTATGAATCTTAGATCATATATATACTTGTGTATGATCTAAGGTATGAATAATAACAATATACCTAAATATAAAATATTCTAGGCTGACAAACCGTCTCCGCTCAAAATCGTTTTTCGTTTACCTACAATGATATTACCTATATCATTGAATTCAAATTTAACACCAGCCATAACAATTTACAGTGACCCATCACTTGCAGTTAACCAACTGTACAGCAAAGCGTCACGCCATCACCTACTTACCCGCTTTTTTTTCTTAATCGTACGTAAAATTACAATATAATTTAACAGTACCTATTATATTCATAAAATCGGTGGTTCCCAGGGATTACCTCTCTGTTAGTGCGCCACTGATAGTCAGCCATGAAACATACGAAAAAGATTTAAAGGTGGCGACCACCTGTTTCATCTGCGCAGGATAATGAAGACATGGAAAATATAAAAAAAAACACTGAATATTTTCGTTGAAGATAGTTTTATTATATCCACTAAACAAATGATTTTTTTTTTTTTTTAAGCAAAGTTAAATATATAATTTCTTTTAATTACATAAACATTGAAAGTATCCATAGGTATATATTTCTACCTAAATCCACACATATATATAAATCTATATATATATAATATATTGTAAACTCATCATTTATCTTTTCATTTCCATCTCATAAAAATTAACAATTTTTTTTCTCATAGCACAAAATAAAAATAGCGTAGAGGAACCAAACGCCGGATAGTAGAATAATATATATTATATAGAATTTTTTTTAAATATATATATTATTTAAAAATAAATATAGCAAAATCGTATTAAAATGTACAGTTTAAAGCCTTAGAGGTAACTAAAAATGGTGTGATTTCTATAAGAAAAATTCTTTTCCGGTAATTTTAATAAATAAAGTTATTTTAAAAATTATATTTATATATAAATAGTTATTATTATTATATATATATATAAATTAATTAATAAAAATTCTTAAAAATTCTAAAATTGCTCTAAATATATTTTATTTATTAATATTTATCGACCAGGCATATTGTTTTTTAAATTTATAACAAAAATAATACTTTAATATGAACAACGTGTCAATTAAATATTATAGCTTAAAAGATTTTTTTATAAATAAATTAGATATTAAACGGGTGTAAATAGGCGTTAAAAAAAATAAATAAATAAAAATACAGTAAATAAATAAAACATCTCTAGGATCTAAAATAAATAAAAAAAAAAAACTAAACATCCATGTAGGTATTGTTTTGGTTAATATTGGTATACACATAGAATAGATATATATATATAAAATAATAATAATAATAAAACGTTTGTGAGAAGTGAAAAAAAACCTAACACTGTTGGGAGCTGCCTCTTTTGGAGTACATAATATATATATATATACTTTTTTATTTTCAAAGCGAGTATAAAGGAATAAAATATAATATATATTATATAGTATAATTCTTATTATTATAGCTGTCGTCGATGATGATAATACAATAAAGGCAGGTTAAAAGTAAACACACACGAACGGCGTTGAAACGAAATAAACATACAATTAAAATAAAATAAGAGACTCGCGCGCAAGGCGTGAGGAGAAGACAATATTAAAATACGATGCGAGAGGCGTCGGAGGCGGAGTGTGTGTGTGTGTGGGTGTGGGTGAAGTGAGTGCGTGTTCGGGAGTCGGGTCGTGAAATAAAAAATACGATCGCGCAAACGACACCGATTTTTGGGTTGGGGAGGGGATGATAGTTGATGGGGTCTTGTATGGTCCGCCTATGACGGTCTATATCTCGGCTTTCACCGATCACACTCACACTTTCTTCAGCGTGAAGAAGCTGCGGCGCTTGGGTTCGTCGCGTTTGTCACCGACCGCGGGCAGTGTCTGGGACCGGGACTGCGTGCCGGCCGCGTCCTGCTCGCACACGTTCTTCAGCGTGCTCACCCACTGGCGCATTTCGGCGTCGTTGCGCGCCTGGAACAGGAACTCGGCGCCGCTGGCCAGCTTGGCGCGCAACACGAACTTCTTCTTGGTGTAGTCGGTGGCCACGTCGGCAGTGCCGCCGTGCAGGTCGATGGGCGCCTCGCCCTTGAAGTACGTCTCCGGCGACGTCTTGGCTGCCTTGGCGTCCTTGTAGAACGCCAAGCTGGTGCCCTGAACGCACACGAACACCTTGTCCCAAGACCTACGTAGGAAATCAGAGCAATACGATTAATGTTATACTTTTATACGTTATTAGGATTCAGTGGGCCTATACCTATATGGCTATATTATAATTGCAATATAATTTACATAACATATTGCTTTAAAAAAAATTTCAAAATATAATTCTCGCTATATTATTGTTGTACAATTATATTATTACTACCAATTATCATACTCACGACTTAGTATTATTACAGTGATATTTTAGGGGTTGGAAGGGGGTGAATATTATATATTTCAAGTGAATTGTGTGGCCATCATACTACTTAAAATATTCATAAAACAATAAGCAAAGTAGAATGAGATCAAATATTATAAAACAAAATTATTTACCATTTATTACATTTTATGATAATAATATGTGTAAATATATAATTTAATTTGTATGACAAATTAGTCCAGCCTTTGAGGATTGTAGGGGAAGTTCCAGAGACGTATTCATACACCTAAAGTTGTGATGCCATCATTATTATCCACACCCCTAAAGAAGTTGTGTCATTGAAAACAATTTGTTTATTTACACGTAGTTAAAACGAATTTACAAACCCTCAAGATTGAATGCACACATGTAAAATCTTTAGGTTTCTTCATAATAAAATAATTATTTAATTTAATGACTTTGGAATTAATAACAAGAACATATTTTTTTTCTAAGACTAGTTTCCCAGAAGTTGCATCATTTAGTTTTATTTATCTGTAATTAATTTTATGTTATTATTTTATAATATTAAAAATTATTAGATTGTATCAACCAGTCCAAATAAACGATTACGGCTATAACAACAGCTATAGAACATAAGCCACAACAAAAACAAAAATAATATAGTAATAACAAACTAACAAAGTAAAAAAACATTTCGAGCAATACACAGCAGCTGGTGCCTGTTGTTGTGTTATCCATATAACAGATTATAAAAAAAACAATTTTATATTAGCTGCAGGGTCGTAACCAACCATAGCACCACTGGCAATAAAATAAATTTGCACCCTAAATTATTTCATCTACGTAAATAATAAAAATGTCTAATGTTCCATGCATAAACTAAAATTAAAACAACAGTGTGCATTTATTACCTGTTGGATGCTTTTTTCGTGGTAGATTCCCATTCATGTTTCCTGTTGAGTATTCCTTCAAGTATTTCACCATCAGCTTCGGTGGCTGATTGATCTGTAACAACGATCAATGGGCCACTATTAAAACAAACATAATGGATGGACACCATAGGCTGCAGATTCCCTTGTCTGCGTATAAACCCTTCCCCCCACAACATGCTAGTCGTTGTATTTAATAGGTTGTAGGTGTAGCTCATGACCATGCACAAGACTTACAATCAAGCAAGTATACATACGACGGATATCTCCGCACCATGTTTTAAAGACTACGATACCTGAAGTTGGTTCAACGGTGGCCTCGTCGTCACTAGCTGACACAGCGGACAACGGGCTCTTTTGCGGTGATTTTTTCCACCGGAAACTGCGGAATGGTGACTTTGAGCGCGACCTGTCCTTGTTGCGGTCTTTGACTAATTGACTTCGAGAAGCTACGTTTTCAAAATACACACACAAACAGAAATACTTTTACAAAACAAGCAAACTAAAAAATAATTGTCATCGCACATCGTATCATGTTAGAACATGAGAAAGCACGACACATGCTAATGATTAAATGTTCAAAAATTAAAAAATATAAATATAATTAATTGAAAGCAAGCTTGAGATAGCTGAAATACTTACTTGAGGGCAACGTAGATGCGGATCTAGCGACCCCTGCAGGCGCGGCGGGACTGGCAATGCTCTTCCTACTCGATGCAGAGCTGTCATGCACTACAAATGTTAATAACAAACACTTTCAATTCAACTTCATGCCAGAAAAAAAATAATAAGTAATCGCTATAACTACAATTCGAATTATTATAGCGAGTCATGCGATAGTATAGCGCCGTTCTATATAATATACACATGGTAAATTTTAACAAAGTTAAGTAAAATTCATGCAAAATAGTTTATAATAGAATAAAATAAATGTATTCTAAAAATATTATATTTGTTTTAAATTAAATGAACTGACCTGCGGTCGGTTTTTCGATAGGCGATGTCAGTGCGAGGTTAGTGGGTGGAGGTTTACGTATTGACGCTAAAGTTAGATTTAGAGAACGCAAGCGTGCAAATAACAGAAAAAACAATATGTTCATATTATACATGTGTCAATATTGTTTTTCGAATTTCAAGTTCCCTACCTAATATTTCAATTTATTCAACACAACTATATCTTTTCCACACAGAGTACAGATATTTTTTTAATTTAATAACTTATAATGTTTAAATATCTTTATATCTTTATATATTTATACATTTACATGGTAAATTATTAAATCAAACTGATGCAAATACATTATAATTTATATTGTGTATTAATAATTTGCAATAGCTTTAAAACCATTATTGTGTTTATGTACATCACATCATCATTTGTTTGATCACATTTCCAAGGCATTAAATGACTAGATATTTATAAATAATAAATATATTACAATATCAACAACCTTCAGTGCATAATTAATTTATTATATTATAATACTTTTTTTTTTACAATATTTTACACTTTTCTCTTTTAACTATTTTCATCCACCAACATATTAGATAAAATATGTATATCGTTTAATGGTACTTAGATTAAAATGATTTATAAACATTTATAATTCATAAATCCATTTCATTGGACAATTATAAATTTAATAGTCTATAGTTTTATACCATTGATTTTATATTATAAAATTAATGTCTATACTATGACTTTAAAATAGTAATAATAATTGTTATTTAGAAAATAATGCTTTAATTTGACTAAGCACCACCAAGCATTTTCACCACTTATTTTGCATGCATTATTATTATTGTGATTAAAAACTAAAACCACAAAAGCTAACTTACCAGGACGACCTTCTCCATCTTTAGCTTGTTTTCCATCGGCTTCAGATGCTTCTTCCGCTCTATAAAATGTAAGAAAAATAGACATTTTTTTTTTTTTAAATGAAAAATATATATCTTGTAAAAATTGTACAAATAATTTTTAACATACGCAGCTTTTTCTGCTGCTTCAGCTTCTGCTTGAGCTGCTTGTTTAGCTAACTCTTCCTGGCGTTTTCGTTCTTCTTCTTCTTTTCTACGTTGAATTTCTTTCAATTCAAACTAAATGAACCACAACATTTAAAATAATATCATAAAAATTATTTATTTATTATTTATTATTTATTCATACGGTTGTCAAACGTTCTAGAGCACAGAATCTTTCTTCTTGTGCTATGGCTGACTTTTCAAATGCTTCATGTTTTTTTATCAAATTTTCCACTTGATCAATAGTCATCTATTACAAAAATACCCATGGATAAGTTTTTATTGAAAATATTTGTTAAATTAACTTACTCCTAATTCCAGACTCATGATGTATGGTTCTTGGGCCAATAACCATGCTTCGGCAACTGCAGCATCTCTGGCAAATTGATAAACTTCCAAAACTATAAAATAGACATTTAATATAGCAATAATATATAATATAATAATAGTACCAAAAACTAACTTAGTTGAAGATTTTCCCATCGTTCTTCCCACCTATTCAATAATGAATTTCTCTGGGTATTCAATAACATTAATTTATCTTTTATCTAAAAAAACAAACAGTAAATAAATGGGTGTTAAAAAATTTATTTAAATAAATCAAAGAATTTACTTCATTAGAAGCATAATGGTTTCTTGAAAGTAGTTCTTTCCCTAAAGAAATGCAAGCTGTGAAATTATCTTCTCTGGTGTCAATTTCTGCTTTTAAACTTTGGTGATTGTTCATCAATAGTTCTACTCCACTAACATCCCTAAAAAAAATGTTGATAACAATTATAATATATTACAATAAATTCTAAAAGTCAAGATCAAATTACCTTGGTTTTTCTGATGTGTTCATTTGTCTAACAACATCATCCATCCATACGGTTAATGTTCTGACCATATTGAAAAACTTGTGTAAATCACCAGTGTCTGCTAATTTTTGTTTGCGCAGTTCACATTCTGATTGTAAAGCAGCCCAAGCATTCACAACTTCTGCTTCTCGTCCAGTAATTTCTTTGGCTTTGTCTCCAGCATATGATGTTTGTAACCGAGCTGAATCCTCACTGATAGTTTGAACCTGAGTGCTAAGTGTGTGTAAATCTTGTAAGAAACTCTGATGTTTACGTTGTAATGTATGGACAGAACCAGCATCACGACCAAGATCTTCAGACATTTCATGACTTTTCTCTGCAATACGACTAACCATATCCTTGCAATCGTGGAAGAATTTGTGTAGTTCTCGTGAAGCAACCAACATCTAAGGAAATAATATATTATATTAACCTACCAAGTTTAAAATAATATATTAGTAGTTTACTTGTGTTCTAGTTTCAATAAGTTCTAGTAAATCTTGCCATTGTTCATTTAGATTGTCTTTCCATTCAGCAATAGTGGCCGAGTCACTGTGCCCAATGTTGATAAGCTGATCAGCAATACCATTAACTGTTGCCACACGTTCACTACCTGTTGCCTCAGTATCATGAGCAAATTCTTTAAATCTTTCCCACAACAACTATAAAAAGATTTTAAAAATATAGTCCAATTAGTAACACACTTAATAAAGTTTGGAAAATAAATAACTTACAGTGACATGGTCATAATCTTGACCAAGTTCGTGCGAACCAGCAACAATCTCACGTTCAGCAATCCATTGTTCTAAATCATCAACTTCACGATGCAACATGAATAATTTCAAAGCTTCATCTAATTTAGCTCTACGTTCTCCAGCCAAATCCTTTAGTCCAGCATACAATTTATCTACTTGAGATTGTTTTACGGCAATTTGGTCACTTTCAGGATGCATTTCACTAGTGAGTTGACGAGCAGTTTCACCTAATTGTCTAATTGTATCGGCATAATTATCAACAGCTAATTCTAAGGATTCGTGTTTCTTTTTTAAGTTTTGCGCTGAAATCTGATCTTTTCCACGATCTTCAACCATCATATATAATTCTTGTTCACCCATCCAACTTTCTGCTTCGCTGGCGTCGAAGAAGTACTGTAAATGTATTTAAACAAATGTTATATTTTAGATATTGTTTAGATTGAAATATTTAAAAATTAATTTTAATATTATTATTTGGCATACTTGTTGGGCCTTTTCAGATTGAAGTAACATTTTTCTACGATGTTCAACAGCTTGTTGAAGTTGTTGCCAGCGTTGAGTTAAATCGTGTATGAGGTCTGTGAATTGTGAAGCATCTTCATGTCCTTCATCAATTAACTTTTGGCCATTGCTACAGACAAGATTAATTCGGTGCTCGTGATTATCAATTTCATTACCTAAAGACTAAAATAAAATATAAAATAATGATTAATAAATAATAAATGATAAAAATACTAGTACTATCAAAGAAATCAATTTTCTTACTTGATTTTTCTTTTGTAACATGTTGACATTGAACAAACTATTTCCATATTCAGTTGATGTAGCCATTGGAGTCTTTTCAGCAATCCACAATTTTTCATCTTCAACGTCTCGTCTAAATTGGAATGCTTCTTTCTTTTTCTCCAGCTGTCTTTGCCTTACTTTCAATGGTTCCTTAAGTTGTTCGAATCTTTCTTCCACTTTGGTCTTCTTTGGAATAATTGTTTCAACTTTCTCAGGGACGGTCTTTTTTAAGTATTCGGCTTGTGTTTCTAATTCAACAACTTGTTTAGCTTTTACAGCCATTTGGGTTTCAATCATCTGTTGTTTCTGCATAAGTATATTGACAGAAGCCAAATCAGTTCCGGTATCAGCAGCTTCAATCTGTTTTTCTAGGTCATCCATCCATGAATCAATATCTTCACAAGTCTGGTGTATGAGAACTTCTCTATTAGTGTCAAACAAACGTTCACCTTTTTCTTTAGTGGTCTTTTCGAGATCATCAAATTGACCTAACATTTCAGATATCTTTGGTTGAATTATTTGGGCCAATTCAGGTTTCTCTTTCATTAATTCCTCTCCTGATTGCTGTACTCTATCTAATCTATCTTTATTGGATGCAATTTCTGCTTCAAATGCTTGATGACGAGTCCATTTGCTGTGTACTGTTTTAGCACTTCTGTATGTTTCATCCTGAGCTGTAAACTTCTTTTCTTGAATCCATTGTTGTAGTTCATCAGAATCTTGGAGAAATTGGTGAAGTTGTAATTGGTCTTTAAGTTGATCCATAAGTTGTTGGGCTTTATCACGGTTTGCATCCCGTCGCTCATGTATGGAAGCTGCTTTCTTTTTAATTTTATCAGCTTCGAAATGGTCTTCATCAACAAGTTTATTAGCAAATTGAGTGACAGCATTAATTTTGTCTTCATTAGCTTCCATTGTGGTCATGAATGCTTCATTACGTTTAATCAAGTTTTCAGCATGTTCAAGATTGGACTAAAAAAAAAATAAAATATTAAAAATTTTCTTATTTCTTAATCATATGATAAGATTTTTTACTTACTGGGACTTCATCTTTAGATAGAGCATGTTCTTGTTGAGAAAGTAATACTTCAGCTTGACGAGCGTCACGGTTAAACATTTGCAGATTGAGTGACTTGGAAAGAAGTTGTTGTCTATTCTCCCACATCTTGTGCAATTCTTGCCATCCATCACGCAAAGCCTTGAGCCTCTCTCGCAAGAACATATATTGAGGATCGTCTTGTGTTCCAGGTTCCTAAACAAGAAATTATGCATCTCTTATACTTAGTTCATTTGATAACTAAATAGTTGTACTTACAGCTGTAACTTTTTCTCCATATTCCATCATTTGAGTATAGTCAGCAGTGTAGTTATCAATTTCTTCACGTATTGCTTGATGTTGGGAGAGAAGTTTCTCAGCATCTGATAATGAAGAAGGAATATCTTCTGAAGCAACATCAGTTTGAGTTTTAGTCAACCAAGCTTGGAAGTGGTCTAAGTCACGTAGGAAACGATGAAGGTCACCAGCTTCTTCTAGTTTAGAATCTCGTTCTTTCAACTGAGAAATTATAATAAATAAATTATATTTAATTAAAATAAGTTTATTTTCTTACCATTTGTGTTAATTCTTCCCAATCTTTTTGGATTGTTTCTATTCTTTCTCGGATTACAGCTGCTTCTTCTGGATGTTCTTTTTCATTAATTTGTGCTTCAGATTCTAATGAGTCTAATTTGGCTTGAATGGCAGCTAAATCTCTTTCCATACCAGATAAACGACGCTGTGATAAATAATGTAAATAATTATGATATATTATAAAAATTAATAAATGTATTACTTTTTATACAGTAGTTAAAAGTATAAACTTATTTTACCTGCAATGTCATTATACCAGTAAGGTCCATTTCTAGACTGTCTGTTGATTGTAAAATTCTCTTTTTGTCTTCAATCCACGAAATAGTTTCTCTACATTCAATATGGAAAGTTTGTACACCATGAGCAGCATTAAGTTGTTCACGTTTGGCTTCAGCTTTATCTCGTAAATCAGCCCATTCATGATTCAACTATAATTAAACATATTTCAATTTATTTCTCAATAAAAACTTTACAAATTGTATGGCTTACATTGTTTTGTCTGTTAACAATTTCATCTGAGTTAGGATGTTCAACATGAAGTAATTGTCGTGCTAATTGATTTACAACAGCAACTCGTGATGCATTTGAATTCATTTCTTTATCAAATCCATCATAACGATGTTTCATTATTTCAACGTCTTCTATGTCCTTTCCGGGGCTCATGGTTTCCAACATACGGTTCTTAAGTTTGAAAATAATATTTTAGATATGAAATTATAAGTTAAGAAATTATTTTTTTGTTTTTCTAATTACCTTTTCTCCAATCCATTGTTGTACAGCATCAGCTTCACTGAAAAGCTTGTACAAAGAAAGAGCATCCAAAAGTCTCTGGTGTCGCAGTTTAGCTAATTCAACCAATTCCTTATAGCGTTTATCAATTGATGACATACGCTCATTTACTTCTGGTCCACTTGTTGGTGCACCTGGTTCAGCACTTAATTGATTGGCTTGAGAACGTAATGCTTCAACAGTTTGTGAGTAGGATTTTAGTTCTTCACTAACCTATGAATAGTAAAAATGATAATATAATAGAAGTTTGACAATAAATATAAAATAAATAATAAATACTTCTTTGTGTTTCTTTAACAATGATTGGACATTAGCTTCATCCCGGCCAACATCTTCAGAAGATACTAGTCTCAAAGTATCTAACATCCAAATGTCAACATCATCAGCATCAGCAAACCACTATTTTAAAATTAAATACAATTTAATTGTTGGTAACAAAAATGTTGAAGATTAACTCTCAAATTAATTCTTAATAATTTAGGTAAAACAATGTTCATAACAATTAATTATTGCTCATAAAGAAATCATAACTAGAGTTTAGAACTTATTAAACCTATTAGCACAAATATTTTATAAATATGCATGTAAATGCCATATGCTTAATTATTACCAACAGTTTTAATGTATGAATACCTAAATAAAATTGCAAGATTTTTATCATTGAACATTTATTTATTATTAATTATTAAGTTTAGGACTCATTGCACTAAAAAAGTTCAAAATATAAATGCAAATATGAAGCTAAAATTGTAGAAAAAACTCATGAAAATGATATGTATGTAAGTAAAAATTTGTATTTAATTTTAAAAGTTCTCAAAACAAATGTATATTTAAATGTAGATATTTTACAATTGTCATAGAAAAACATACAAATGCAAGAAATCCCAAACCATAGTTATGATTAATTTAACTTGTCAAATTGATTTTAAAAGTAAATAAATATATTAGGAGGAATTTAGTATTGTAATATAAAAACCATGCCCGCTGATTCAAAATATACCCTTTCTGTATTATCCTATACAAACTATACATAATTCTTAGATACCCGCCATTAAGGAAACAATTAAATTACTTGGTGATAATCGACTGCATCTTCCAAACGCTTGCGTCTTTGTTTGGTCAAACTGATTAAATGTTCCCACATGGAATGTGTACTGGACACTCGTTCTTGTATGCGATCGGCACCAAAATGGTTGCTGTTGATTAAATCTTCTCCAACCTTTACTACTTCAAGCAATTGACTTTCATGACTCTGTATTTCATTTTCAAGTGCCTAATAAATAAAAAATAATAGTAAGTAATGATTTCTAAATATTTACAAGTATTCATATTACTTTATGTTTTGAAAGCAACAGATTAATAGTGGTCAAGTCATGACCAATATCTCCAGCAGAAACAATTTGTTCTTTTTCCTTAATCCAATTTTCTTCATCAGCCATATCCCAATAAAATTGCCATAATTTTCTGCTTTCTTCAAGACGAGCACGTCTTTCAACAGCCAATTTGACCAATTCACTATACGCGTCCTCAAGTTCCTGAACTCTTTCAATAATAACAGCTGGATCACAGGGTCTATAACCTTCTGTATTTTCTTCATCCAAGAAACGTTGCGAGTGTTGTACAACACTTTTCACTCTTTCTCCTAAAACATTAATGTCAGCTTCCACGAGGCTGTGCTTTTGAAGAAGATCTTCAACTCCCATCAAGTGTTTGCCATAATCATCAGACAATAGTCTCATTTTCAATTCTTCCATAGAATCCAATATGTATAGCATTTCTTGGAAGTTTTGCTGTAATTGTAATGACAACTCCAGACGGTGACGACGAGCTTTCAATAGTTCAAGAAGATAGTTCCATAAACGAAGAACATTGTCTTTTCTAAAAAAAATTACACGGTAAGCAATTTTTTAAAAATTGTATCCAAATTAAAATTTACCTTGCATTTATACGGACAATATCATGATAGTCCTCTGTTTCTAATTCTTGTGCAACTGTCACAACTGCTTCTACTCGTTCTTCATAAGCAAATATATCTGTTTCGATAGCTTCGTGCTTTTTTGCTGCTGCTTCTACAGCTGCCAAATCCAAACCAAAATTATCCTGTAAGCATTAAATAAGCATCAATTATTTTTAATATTTTTAAAAATTAAATTCTATTTAGGATGCAAATTAATTTAAAAACTAACCTGAGAAACTAGTCGTTGATTTTCACTCAACCATGTCTCTCGCATGCTTGCTTTTCTATTGAATCGTTGAGCTAGCTGTTCAAGTTTTTCTTGTCTTATGATTTCTTCTCTTAATGCCAACTCCCTTTCATGTTCTGCTTTTTCTAATTGTTCCCAAGCCTTATTGATATCTGAAATCATTTTTCCTTCTTTGGGAGTGTATGGTTTTTGATTATTAGCTCTCATCTTAGACTGCAATGTGAAAAGCAAAACTTCCAAATTTCCTTTTTCAACAAATTTTGGGGGTTTCTCAACAGTCCTATAGTTGTTAAACTGTTGTAATTGCTGTTGAACACCATTCAAAGAATTTAAGAATTTCCTCTCTGCTAATGACTCTTTAGTCTGCTTGATCCATTGCAATAAGTCACTAGTTAAACGTTCATATTCTTGGGCTGTACGTTCATTTTCCATGGCTATTCCAACAACCCGCCCAATTCTCTTTCCTTGAACCGTTTCTTGTTTCATTTTACTGAAGTAATGATAGTATGTAACAACATATGTAATAATTGATTTTTCATCTGGTTGTTCAACAAATACATCTTCAGCATCCAATAATTTTACGATTCCTAATTTATCTTCGGCAGTGTTGAATGCATTATTCAAGTTGTACATGGCATTAGTTTTGCTAAGTTTTTCGAATTGTACAAGGTCAGGGCGATGTTTGTGAATGATTGCATTAAATGCAAGACCATCTCGCCAGGAAGTGGTGAAGTTGCGAACATTGACATTGTGATAGCCAGCAGTTTTCATTTGGCACCACAAAAGTAGAGCATCCTTCGCAGATTTTGTCTCTTTATTGTCGGTTTCTTCAATGGTAATGTCTTGAATCTAAAATTAAATTAAAATTATATTTTCGAAAAAAATATTACATAATAAAAAAAAATTACATTTTCTATCAGTATAATATTAAATTAAATAGTGGAAATTATAGTTAGTACATACTTGGAATCTAAGAATAATTGTCCATATAAGACCCAACGAAAGCCTTGGGTTTCCATCGACAATGTCATGGGATCCCATGTTTTCTAAATGTACTCTCTGATCTTTTAGAAATTGCAAAGCTTTGTCTACATTTTCTAAACAATGTATTCTCATTTTTCCCTTGGTAGGTTTTGGCTGTATACAAATAATCATGTTAAAAATATAATAACAAAAATGTTTATTTAAACTTCAAGTATAGCTGTTACCAATCGTTCTCCAGAAAGAACTTCCAATAGTTTTATAAGCATTTTGCCATCTCTGAGGTCTATGTATAAATCTCCGATTCGGGAATGCACCCGAACCAAGTGCGAATTTACCCATTTTTGAAAAGTCTTTTTTTGGACACTTTCTCTTTCGTCTGAAAAATACAAAGTTAACCACTTATAATGCAGAGCCCCTGTAGGGAAGGGACAACATGAGTAATAATCTAGAGTTAAGGGGTGACTGTGCTTACACTGAAGGGTTACTCTCTACTTTCTACGACCCCATTCAAAGACGCATGTTTGTACACGGAGAAATGTCCTTTCGTTTTTATTTTCTTACTGCTTTCGGGAAAATAAAATAAGCAAAACTTACCGGCCAAAGCTTTAATTCTGGATCTTTCAAATAGTCTGGAAGAAGAGTTTCCACCGTCATATTCATAATCTTCAACAATACCGGTTCCGTCTTGCTGTATGGCCGGATCCCACCGGACCACAGAGATATCTGTCGTCATGACAGCCAGATACCTCTATATAGTTTTTTATATCTGTAACATAAAAAAAGTAAAATGATTTAATTTGCATATTTAATACATATTAATATACAAAGCAAACTTATTAATAATAAATATATAATGTTATGACTTATGGTCATAAGTCAACTACTAATAACACGCACAGTCACAAACTATTTATTTTAACCGACCTATAACCACTTCGAACGTTTTTGAAAATATATTATTCACATTTTTATTGCCTTTTTTCATAATTTGATATCGTTTTATTATTTTTATGTTCTACTTTTTGAATGACAAGATATATTTTTGATTTCATATTCTAAAGCAGAACATTGTTAAGAGTATTTCGATTTTTTGATACATAAATATAGAATTTTAAACGTGTAGTTAATTAGTTAAAACTTAAAATACTAATAAATAATAAGTAATAACCTCGGTAATAACTAATAACTATAATTGCATAGGTACCTGTAAAATTAAAATATTATTAAAAAAATACACCAATAGTACTTAGTACGCAAATCTCATATTATGACGTATTTACGATAGAAAGATACTTTATTAGATTTTATAATTTAGAAACAATTCTACAGTGGAAAATAATATAATCTTCAATCTCGAAGTTAAGTTAATCACGTATTATTATTACCGGATATCCTATATAATTATGGACTATGGTCTACACATAAAATTAAGACTGCGTGTCTGCGTATACGAACGAGCACGCGCGCAACATTTTAGAACATGGACTGAATTCACGCCTGCGTTAAATTCAAACATAGTATTATACCTATACGTATTGATCGCACAAAATATGATGTGGGACGCACGTATCAATATAATATTATGTTTTATGTGTAATAACTAATAACATACTACACGTTAACATTTTATCTTGTACAATTAATTATATTTTTGATCACCGCTGTAACCACTCCAAAACACAAGCTTCAAGTTCAATTGAATCTTAATGTTTATGTGAAACTGAATAGATACTTTAGGATTCAATGTCACACAAAGACAGAGGAATTTCAAATATTAAGAATCATATATATAAAATCATTATATTTTTTTGTTTTTGACATAGCAATTTCGCCTTCCCATTTATATTTGGTATATTCGAATTACGAAGAGACAATTAATAAAAATAAAAATTACGTTTGCCCCCCCCCCCCCCGTATAACACTATATGGAACCCAACTAAAATGAAGTAATACGAAGTGAATGTACATAGAATATCGTACATAAGAATTGGTCAAAAAAATTAATGGTAGGAGTAGTATATTATACTATATAACATTATGAGAGCAGTTACAAGGCAACGCACGAACAAAAATAGAATTCGGTAACCGCTTTTCAAAGCTGTTGAGAATATTTTTAAAATTGAAACACTCATTTCACACGGGATACGCTACTAAACGGATGCGTAGACGAGGAAACGTGTAACGTGAAGGAAGGGGCTAAAGGGTTTATTTTTTTACAACTTATAATAATTTCAGTTACAATAAATAATGTAACACAATATAATACAGTAAACTTAATCTTGAAAGTACAACTATAAATATTTTTTTTTATCTAATAAAAATACTATTTAAAATCAAACTGATTTAGTAGCGGCTATAACATATTTCTTGATTTTATACTTTAGAAAATAATACTATACGTATAGTGAAATAATAATATAATAGTGTAAAATGAATAAAAATGATGATAAAATAATTTAGTAAATAGTAACTATAACTATAATTCAAGTGGTAAAAATGTTGATTAAATGCAATTGAAAACAATCAAATGTGACTAATAGAGACAGTACATTTTCTATTTTGATAATTTTGTTTCACGCCAAATATGAATAAAAATGTTAAATTTGTAATTGAAATTGTAAATTATATAATTCTTTAATCAATTAGTAATACGTTAAATATGACAGTTTAATATTGCACAATACAAAACAACTTACCTAATAATGCATGTACCTAGGTATACATTTTTATTTTAATATGATCATTGAGTTATTCTGAGTAAATTTTCATAGAAATGAAATAACAAATATGTTTTAACACATTTTTTTTATAATATGTACATGATATGATATAGTACAGAATATTTTAGTGATTATATACAAAATACAATGACAAAATCGGTGTCGATTTATACTCACGGGACCACTAAAAGTCATAGAATGAAAAAACTTAAAATATTGTATTATATTGTTCATACATTTCCAAAATAAATATTTAAAAAAATGGTCCGAGAAAAAAATGCAACGTAGGCGTTCTATCCACCAGCTGCGGTTAAATTGGAATAGATTAATTTTAAAACAGTCATAATAACACAATGGGGCCTGTGCCCTTCCAGTATACAATTTACACATTATATTATGAACATTGCTAGTTTTAAATCGGTACAGTTTGCGTGCTACTAGTCATCAGTCACTGGCATAGCAGCGCGTTTGGCCTGTAAAGTTAATAATAATAATAAAATTGTCGTATTTTATTTTGCTCTCTCTTGAAATGGACGTCACTGGGAAAATAATATACAACAAGACCAGCGAAACGTTTCCTTTGGGGGTATCGGCTGCGGCCATGATACTTATACAGAGCAATTGGCCCAGATTTTTTTTTATAATATCATCATTTTTTTCCTTCTCATCGTTCATTCGTCATCGTTCGAATAGAATCCAATAAAAAAACACGTTCGTAATTCGCAATGCGCAAATTTCACACATAGGTACCTATATAAGTGAAAAAAAATAGCCGCTTGGTCTTTGGCGTGAAAAAACTATACCGTTAACAGTTAAAAAGTGTTCAGCTAAGAAAATAGTTAAACTAATATATATTATAGCCAAATATTAGAGCATTTTGGTAATATTTAATCGAAATTATAGTTCAATATTATTATAATAACATTATTACACTATTAAAATATAATGGCACAAGAAAGTTTTAAGTCATTATTATTATTATATTTCATATATGCAGCAAATGATTCATTTACTGCACAATGCACATGCACTTAAATCCATTTTGCAGAGATATTTCGAACGAATATAAAAATATAATCACTATAGGTATACACGTCATTGTTTAGAAACCAGTTATGTGTGCAAATTGATCGAGTTAGTTGTAAAATATGTACTTAATATACGTCTGGCGTAATGTTTAATGATAATTATACACTCCCGTGTAGTCCCATCGATGTTTTAAAACTTATATCGTAACCATCATTGAACCACACGCTGTCAATGCGATTATCGTTATAGCGCTATTACGGTCCGAATGTATACAATTTTATAATAATATGTTCAATAACAATGTACAATTTGACATTGGTAAATATAATATATATACATATTATATAGTGTACCAGTATACAAAATAAAATTGTGTAAACCGTTGTTTAATCGGAAACGCACGAAGTCCAATACCGGTGAATAAGCCGTAAAGCGTACTATATGGAAATAAATAACACAATAATGAGATGATACGCCATACGCAAGCGCTAAAAGAAATGAAATATGTATGCAAACCGTTTACTAGTACCTACCCTTGTTACACGGTTATAATATAACAATATTGTAATATTCCTATAAGATATAAGATAATATAATATATAAGATGCACCGCACACGGTTGTGCCACAGTATAAAGAGTATGGTCTCAGAGTATTTATACTGTGGTTGTGCTACGTTCAATAACGTCGCCGCCACATCACAGAGAATAAGAATTCGGCCGTATGCGGTCCGTGTTCAGAAACGGGTCAGACACCGTAAATTTACAATTTATTTATCCAGGGCAAGACCCTGTGGTGGCCTGTCAAGGAAAACGCCGTTCTTCATTTGGGCGCCACACCCAAATAACGCGCAGCCGTATACAATCCATTTAATGCATTAAATATATTATAATATTATTATATTGGTGGTTTTTATATTTACTGACAATACGAACTCGTTCACACAGCTACGTTCTATAAGAAAATACTTTTAACTTTTTAAGTTTTAAATAAAAAACCAACATCGAAAATAGAAACTGAAAATTTAATCAGATTGTATTACAAACATTAATAATCCGCTATATTTGATTCATGTTGCGAAATAAACATCCATAAATTATGATAATGAGGGTCGCACAAAATAATCAGTTAAGTTTTGGTTTTGTTAGAGATTAGGCTGGGTAAAGAGGAAAATTCGGTCATCTTAGGTTAATTGCTGCGTGTCTTAAAAAATTCCTGAGTGAGTAGATAATAAAAACATACAATAATAAAAACAATACGTGTTATAGAATGCGTTTAATCACGACCTCTATAATTATTATAGTAGTATAATGCGTTGATAATGTCACAAGTAATAAAAAAAAAAACAAATTCTCGAGTCCTAAATCGTCTTAGGGTAAAATATTCTTGAAATAAGTATAACTGAATTAAAATACGAAGTGTTGACCGTCTATATTATGGTAAACTACCCACCATTGAGAGTGCAGTAATTATTGTACCGTACTTGTTATTCGGCGAACACTAGGCTTGTAATCTGTTGGATTTTAATTTTCTCCAACATTATTCTGCTAAAAAAATGCAGTTTTCATTGGTGAAAAATCAGTCGAGTGTCACCACAGAGACACAATATAGCATATTATATGAATATAAATAGGAGTCCTCCTTTTTCCTTTCTAAACAAACAAAATTACGTGCGTCTAATTACTGCGCTGTCGTCATCATCGCCGCCTAGGTCCATTTCCCGCCCGACATCACGAACCACGCGTACACAGCGTCAGTAACGGTACCGGCAGAACAATGTCACGCGTGAAATAAAGCAACGTAACGCAAGTGCAGGTCGTTCAACTAAAACACACTGTATACACGAGCACGCTCACACTACAGTGGCCGGCAGAGGTGACCCTCCTCTCACTTTTTCTATAAAACACGCGTTATGTACACCGCGGTGGTTGTCATCGGATATTATTATAATAATATCATCGTTATAAGTTATAACACAAGTAATG